GGATTTCAAAGCAATTAAACTTTGGTTTACATATTAATCTTTGCTTTGTTCAAGGCTGGAATGATATATGTTTTAATTTGTTTTACTTTCACAGGAGTTAAGTTTACCCTCGTTTTCTCAGTATTTGGTAGAACTACCTTTCACATGGATGTATCCTTCAGCAAGCTTCTCTAAGTTATTTGGCTGATACCTCCAAACAAAGCCAGTGTAATTGCATCTGTTTTTTTGGGCCATTTTGCTCAACCCATTAAAATCTGAAAACCCAGCTATATAACCTGCATTTTCCATAGTATTTAACCAACTGTAAATTTGCTTTACTAACGTATATTACAGGACATTTTACCAGAAAATAAAGTATTTCTACAATATGTTCATTTGTAAATAGCTGTCTCCATTTTGTTTTTGAAGAAATTGTCCTGGAGGAGTGACTTTTTACATACAGGGGGGAACACATGTCTCCACAGTGTACTGTTTATGGAAGTAATGGTGAATTTGTTTCTTGAATTGTTCAAATGTTTTATTCAAAACAAAACCCTTAAAAAAAATCAAGAAAAAAAAAACAGCACAGGCATCTCTCCTTGCCTTTATTCTCAAGCTGTTGAACAATTGGAGCCAATAATGTTAAGGCCACATCATAGAAGAGAGTAGCACAGCTGTTAACGACGGTCTTTAATGAAGCTCTAACTGCTACTGCTGTGTGTAATACATATCTGACTTAGTAACACATAGGGAAGTGGACCACCTGGAATTTTTGGGAGGATGAAGGGATCAGAATCAGGCTGATCACACTGCTGTGAAAAAGGATGATATAAGTTATATTTCTCAATAGAAGGAATGTAGCCAAAGATGTGTAGAGATTGTTCTCAGATGTATCTGTCCCCCTAGTTCAAAAATGCTATCTGCGCCCCTGGACACAGGACTTGTTTAAATGTGGACAACTTTACCTTACATCTTTATAAGATCTCTTGCTATTATTCTGGGTTGATGTGCATGTTTCTCACCAAAATCATGTTAATCTCTACAAACCCAGTTACAGTGTATTGTTTGAATACATAAAAGCTGACACCTTCAGGAATTGAACCAAGGACAAACCAGACTTGTTGATTTCCATAAATGTTTTCTTGATAGCTTGCATGATATAACCAAAATCAATCAGTATAGGTGTTGCCATAGACACATCTGCAGCAATCCCTCCATTAAGTGAGAATGCTGTAAATCAACCAATTAGAAGGAGACATAACGAAAAACACCATCATCTAAACTACCCCTATTTTTTGGTATCTAAGCCTTTGAATTTGTGTAAAAGTAGAAAAACATTATCTAAATAACCTTACTTCTGTCATTCTACTAATAAACAGAGAAAGGATGTTACCCTAACTGACCTAAAACAAGAAAGGGTTTATTTTTTTCTATCTTAATGTCAGATATAAAAAAAAGGTTGAGTTGTTTTAGTAGCATTGAAACCTTTCCTCAGCTTTATTTCATCCTTTTAAAAATGAAAGCATAATTTATTCTGTTTAAGAATAAATTATGCTTTAAACCTATTTAGGTTTATTCTGTTTAACAACCACACTGGAAAAGCAGTCTAGAAATAAGTAAATTCTTAAAAGTGTGTTTAGCCTTAATTTGAGCAGGTAAATAAGATGATTTGCCAATGGAATTATGATTTTTACTCCTAAAATAAGATAATTAGATAATATGCACTTGAAATAAGATGAAGCAATTGTTTTTTTTATAATTTTAATGTTAATCATCTTGCTCCATTGGCAAAGAGTCACACTTACCTCCTCAATACAAGAAAAAATGCACTTATTTTAAGAAAAAATACTTATTGAGATTTACATTTTTTGCAGTGCATGAATAGTTTCTATTTTTAGTTCTTTGCTTTCAGAGTGAGTGGTTTATGTGGTGAAACATTTCTAAAGGCCTGCAGCATGTGTTGGAAATCATTAACAGCCTGAGTAGATGCAGATCCACGCTTCCTTATGGAAACACATTCGTTCTTATGCTGTAATATATGCAGGCCTTTTGAAAAGAAAAAAAAAACTTATAAACTGCATTTGCTCACCATGTTAGTTTTTACAGCCTCTTCCTCTGAATCTTTCAGTCCTGTTTCTGGTGGTTCTCCCCTCCGTCTGTCACGAGTCTGAGGTGTCCACCTGCTCTCTGCTGCCTCCAGCATCCTTAGTAGTTTTGGGCGGAATTTTTCTGGTCCTTCTTCAACATCTTCTTCTGAGTCACTGGCAGCAGTGTCCTCCTCTTCCTCATCCTCCTGCTCAGCTCTTCCCTCTGTGAACGGTTCTGGAATCTCCTCGGGGAAAGCCAGGTCCTCCCAGGAGCTTCCTATCTGGCTCTTTTCTTTTGACATTACTCCCCAGCTTGTCTGTAATGAAGTGACTTGTATCCTGGCTCAGGTTTGCTTGCCCTCCGTCCTTTACCCACATACTGTACATATTTCCTCCTGCAAGGCATGTGTTAACCCCAAACAGCAGCACTCTGTGGTCACTTTGACTAAATGTAAAGCAGATAATTGATCCCGGAAGCAATGTGTACAGGGTAAATATGAGTCCTCCCACTGTTGTCATTATGAAAAGTATAACTTTGCTAAGTATAATGCCTTGCTCACAGCTATAAAAACATTTATACACGGACATTATAAAGACTTTTGTGTATTTCATATTTGAAACATCTTTGGTTGTGCTCTCAGGACTTGTAGAGCTGCTCCATGTTTCCGTGTTGATGTCGACAACACTGTCACCAAACACAATAAGAGTGGAGACACATGAGCCACATGAACTTCATACATAAACAGGTATGATGACTTTATATTTACAATAAACCCCAAAAGCATCAATAGTGGCCCCATGTTGACCGACTGTTACACAAACACAAAAGATGGGAAGTAAAGCCCTTGTTGGCTAAATATGCAGTGATTAATCATGACATCCGTACACATCTTTGTATCGCTATACAAGGTTGGACAGCTTTTGTCTTCAATTTGCCTAAAAGCTTTACGATAGTATAAAAAAAACTCTAAATTTTCTCACATTCTAACCCTCAACTTAAATGCATTTAACTCAAATTGTATATGATAGACAAACAATAAGTGGAGCACAACTTTGAAGTGGATGGAAAGGAATAGTTGGTCCATACACTGAATCTCTGGTTGAATGTTATTTGTCACGTAAATATTTCTCCCATGTTCTGGTTCAATCTTCCAGGTGTTTGCGTAATGCTTTTCGTTTGTTTCTGCATTCATTATTTCTTATATGTATATTTTGTGAAAACTTGTCTTGCCATATTCTGCTGATGTTAGTTTTGCCATTTGGTTTTTTCCATATATTCCATGTCTTCTTTTATTGTTTGGTGGTTTTCCATATTAGTGCATGTACTGTGTTCTTCCATTCAGAGTTAGGTACACTTTCCCGGGTTTCCTTGTAGCTCTACTCTACTTATTTGTCATCTTCTTTTTAGCTGCTTTGTTTTTACTTCACCTTTGCTGATCCTCGTTCCATCTGATTAGCTCTTCTGGTTAATCGATCCTCTTCCCACTCCGGCTCATTGCATTCACTTGTTCTCATTGTTCCCATTCTCTGTCAGTTTCCTTGTTTTTCAAGCATTAATTGCCCACTCCAATTCTTTTCCTTTGTGCAAAATTAAGTTGTAAGTCTTTCTTATCTTATTATAACATTCAGTCCTACTTTAGTTCTATCTTTGCTTAAGAAAACCATCTCAGAGCGTTATGCTTCCACCACTATGTTTAACTATGTTGATTCTATGCATTTAGAATTCAATCTTTATTAACTTCCTTATCCATGATATTATCTGTGTAGCTTTTGGCTTACTTAAAAAAATATTTCTAATTGCTTTCTTTGAACATTGACTGCTTTCTTGTTGCTCTTTCATAATATGTAGCACAAATGCCTTGTTGTTGTGTCAATTCAATCCAGATTGATTCAATTAATTTGTAAGGAGTCTATTTACAACACATGTCATCTCAAGGCACTTTACAGAGACAATGCGGTAAGATTGGTTAAAAGTTTCTATCAAGAAAAAAAGCAGTTGATTGCATCACCTGTCAGTCTGAGCTGTTGCATTCTTACACACCCTCCCGTTCCCTCAGGTCAGCTGATCAGTTGCTTCTGAGGATCCCAAAGACAAAATGCAAGCTCAGAGGAGACCGTGCTTTTTCTGTGGCAGCTCCTAAGCTGTGGAATGATCTGCCTCTGAGCATAAGACAGGCCTCTTCTCTTGCTGTTTTTAAGTCCCTTCTTAAGACTTATCTTTTTTCCTTGGCTTTTGGCACAATTTGAGAGGTTTTACTTTGTTTTATTCTTTTTATATACTAATATGTATTTTACACTCGTTTTTTCTCTATTTTATAATTTTATTGTATTTTATGATTGTGTACAGCACTTTGGTCCTGTCCGATGCATAAAGTGCTTCATAAAGAAAGTTGGTAAGGTATGGTCAGCACACAGCTGTGTGTCTGTGTTGAGGAAATGTTTTGCTTTGAAAGTATCATCCCTAATATTCCTGTAAATAAGTGCTTTAATGGAGTAGAGCAGATCAAATCTGATTGAATATTTCAGGTCTCCATCCATGGGCCTCTGGGTGCAGGAGTATCAATGTTGTAGCTTTATATCCACTAGAGGGCAGAACAGTTCTGCACTGTTCCATCCCCGCCAGACTATTGACCCATTCATGACACCAATCCCACCCATGTTGATTTAATTCTTTCCCAAAGTAAAAGTCACAAGACTCACTTCTCCTAACTCAAAGTTGGGAGAAGTGTAAAAATTGTCTCTTCCGCTGTGAAGCTTTTCGTTTTCTTATCACTGTTTTGCTCTTGTTCTTCTACATTTCCCCATAATATTAGCGTATAAAGGCCTCTCTGCTGATCGTGGCTCATTTATATCACATTTAGCAAAAATCAACGAAACATGAGCCAGGTCATAACACAGAATACTGACGCCAAACAGCATTAGTCATTTATTTCTAAAAAAAAAACATCTCTCAAAGAGAAGTGATGTGAACAGATTTCACAATCTCTTGTCACAACATCACATATTACAGACGCCATTAATGTGAGCCTAATATAACTGACTAGATCTAGATTTATCATTGCTAATGCAGTTTACATTTGCTACCTCAATTTTCTCTGCCTAATAAAAGCAATTCTTGTGTTTTACTCTCTGAAAAAAACATACTAATAAACTGTCTTGGATCCTAATACGTTTAGTTATTTTTGCAGTTTTAGTACATTTCCAACACATTTACAACATCACTATCAATGGATTGCACATGTTCAGGAACAAACAATTCAAATATTTTTTCCCCAAGTGCTCATTGGAGATTTAAAAAAAACTGGATTTAAAAACTGTAGCAGGTCTTTATTAGAGTATAAAAAAGTACACATAACAGTTTTGATGGTTTTAAATAAATTAAGTGCACAGGAACTCACAGAATCTACTTATGCTTAGTGGGTCCATCAGTGTCAGCTCCTTTCCTAACCTCATCGACCACGAATGTTCTTGTACTGACACAGGAGCAGGTGCTTGAAGGTGTTCTTGAAGGTGGCGTTGCAGAGGGCGTAGCAGGCGGGGTTGATGGTGCTGTTGATGTAGCATAGCCAGTAGCCAATGGTCCACAACGTTTTAGGGATGCAGGTGGAGCAAAATGTGTTAATGAGGACCATTACGTTGTAGGGCGTCCATGTGACGACAAAAGCGATCAGGATGGCCATGATGGTCCTGGTCACCTTTCTCTCCCTGGAAGAATTACCTCTCCTTTTCCACTTTGTCACGACTCGCTCGGTTACAGTACGCTTTGTGGCCTAAAGGGACGAGAAGAGAAAAGGAGGAAAGCTTCTGTCTTTGCATCATTAACTGTTTTTTTTTTTTTTTTTTAGGAGATAAAGGTTTTAGAGTTGCATTTCTTTCTAGTTTATAAAGTGCTAAATATTAACAAATGCTGTGCTGTTTGGGATATACTGCCTCAGCTATTGCAATGACTCTCTGTACTTCAATTTTAAATACATTAACTAGAGGAATATTAAAAAGGATATTGCAATTGCAAAATAGAGTAAAAACATGAAGTTCATATATTAGTATCAATAAAAAAAAAAAAAGCAACTGTTGTAATAAACAAAAGCTGAAGATAATTCTTTAATGAAGAGTCAAACTAATGACTGCTAGAAAAAATGTAGTCCCAAAGATTTTTGGCATCTTAAGCAGAAAAGTCTTAAAATCTAGTGGTGGTTCAAAAAAGATTGCTTTTAAACACCGCATTATTTTATCTTTTTAATATTTTAGTTGTGATAAATACTGTATCATAGTTCTGACTGGGGTTACAATACTGACTATTTATAAATTATTTCATACAAAAAAACTATAAGGTCTCCACCATATAATTAGAAATGATCTGCTCTGTAATTGGTATTCTTAATGTTTGGATAAAGGGTAAACGAACTTCAAACTCTGACAAAAGAAAGAGGCATGTTATATCAAGCATATCAAGCATACCTAGTTGTATATTCATGAGGCCTCCCCCCTGTTGAGATATTTGGCTTCAAAATACAGATGCAAATATTATTGTGATTTTAAGAACACAAGTTATTTTAATATAAAACAAAGTTGTTGACATTTGACACATGGTAATACTAATACCCAAACTATTATTGTAACATTTTTAAAGCAATTCTGAGAGAAATAAAATGTAGAATTCAGTCAAACTCTTACCATGAGTAATGTCCTTGCAACCATACTTTGTCGATCAATAGCTGAAATCTGTGGAGAAGGCTGTGTTTGATTTTTACCAATACTTGTGCTCTTCCTCAATGAACAGGGATCTTTGGATGTTGAAGCTTGGACGATCTCTGATGTAGAGTCCACCTGGTCTACTTGCTCTTCACTACACGGCCCAGTTCCATTTTGCTGATGCAACATGTCCTCGTCCGTCCCATCTACACCATCCTCTTGCTTGTCTTGCTTTTTTGTGCCACAGTTGTTTTCGCAGCCTTCCTCTTGGCTGTTTGAGGGAGGTTCTGCCAAACTCGTACCTGAAGTCTTCCTGCTGTTCTTCCTCATGCGGCTTCGGCTTGCCTTAGAGATTCGCCAGTACAGGTAGATCATGATGGCTACTGGCAGGTAGAAGGCTGCTATGGCTGTCCCAAATGTCACTGCTGCATTAGAGAAGAACTGGATGAAGCAGTGATCAGGGGGCACCGTTCTTTCTCCTACAAAGAACTGCCAGAATAAAATGGCAGGAGCCCACAGGATGAAGGACAGGACCCAGGCAGCAGCGATCATCAATCCGGCCATCTTTGTGCTGCGACGGGTTGGGTAGCTTAGAGGTTTTGTGACACAAAAGTATCGGTCAAAGCTTATAATGAGCAGGTTCATGACTGAAGCGTTGCTGACGACATAATCAACAGCCAACCAAAGGTCGCATACCACTGCTCCCAAAGGCCAGTAGGCAATCACAGTGTAGACAGTGTATAGGTTCATAGAGCAGATCCCAATAATAAGGTCTGCACAGGCCAAGCTGAATAAGAAGTAGTTGTTGACGGTCTGCAGGTTCCTGTTTACCTTAAAAGGAACAACACAGAGCAGGCTGTCAGATCCTAATCTTTTTTGTGCAGTATGATGCATGCTCCCCTGTTCTTATTAGATTAGCTCTCTGCACAGGAGGGCACATGCTGTATTCTTATCTCTAAGCCTGGTTATATTTTTCAAAGTGTGCAGGGATGGATGCTTGAGTCAGATTCAGTAATTAAGAAGGCTGGAAAAAAAAGGAAGATCCAAACCTTTATGGAGACCATAACCAGGATGTTTCCAATGACGGTGATCAGACTCAGGGATCCAGCAACCAGGACGATGAGTACTATCTCCACTGCTGTGTAAGGGCTCCTTGAAAAGAGGCTGGTGTTATCACCACTGGTGAAGTTAATGATGTCAGCTTCATTCGGAGTCTCCATCCTGTCTGATGTCGCTCCTAGAGAGACCTCAAGCTACAGTCATATCTGCACAATCCCTGGTAACGAGAGAGATTGGGGGGATCTTTGTGTTAAGGGTTGTTTTATGTCCATGTTCTTTTCTGTTTGTTTTCACAGATAATTATGTTTTACATTTAGCTTGTAAACAACTTGCAGGTGTTGGAGTGTTTCAACAGGCAAGGCCCAGCTGAGCAGACGAGCAGGTGTGATGTGATAACGGTTTGAGCAGGTTTGTTTACTAGTGCTTCGTACACACTCACACGAGGAACAAGGAAAAAAAAATGTGTTTTAGATCAGAGGGGGAGTCAGCACATTCGTATCATGCTCTATGTTCTAAGTTGTCTAATCAAAGTTGCCTCCGACTAGAACTGATATTGACAAAATCTCCCAATTTCACCAAATAAACTGCAAAAATCTAGAAGAAATTGTACACCAACTAAACTACTCAAAGTTTCCCTCACAGCTATCCTTAGGAAAGCTCTGCCCATCATAAAATTTAATTTAACCCAAATAATAAACACCTCCCTTTTAGACAGGTGTTTATTACTGGTCACCTTTCTCTCACAGGTCAGGTTTCCCAGGCCCTAGATCCAGCAATTATTGAAAAAGAGTAACTTGGAGTATTTTCTACCTCAGAACTACTGGCCCATTTCGCACTTCCTCTTCATCTGCATCCGTTTCGGATGTGATCAACCATTAAATGGCCCTTATTAGTGTTTAGCAGTCACTTTGAATAACTTTTATTTGATATTTACCTACTTTATGCTCTTTATCTACTTTATTCACAGCCTACCTTCTTTAAAAAATGTGTTTTAAAGCTTCACTTCGAGTGAATCCCACATTTCAGTTACACAGATTTTTGATATGGTGTTTAAAAACAACTCAGTTGACAGGATATGCAATTATTTTGGGAGGGGTTGTTGGATATTAGCAATATTAGCAATCAACTTTTTTTTTAAATAGATGAAGAAATACTAAAATTATGCTCAGATTACACATACATTTATTATTTAATTCAGCAGACAAAAAAGTAATTACGTTAGGGTTAGGAATAGGATTCATTCAGTGATAAAAACCTCCTGAGCCTACTGGTAGGTAAGGGCACAGTCTATAGCCATTATATGGGACTGATAACCACTGGGATGACAACATCCAAATTGGCTGTCATTTGTAAGATAATGTCCTGATGTATTAATTTCTACATTGTCTTGCCAAAACAGATTTAATCTCTTTTTAGAGTCTATGACATACACAGTGACATGCACAGTGGTCCTGTGGGTAGCACTGCTGCCTTGCAGCAAAAAGGTTCTGGGTTCATTTCCCACCAGGGGTCTTTCTGCATAGAGTTTCTATGTTCTCCTTGTACATGCGTGGGATCTCTCCGGGTACTCCGGCTTCCTCCCACAGTCCAAACTATGACTGTTAGGTTAACTGGCTTCTCTAAATTCTCCTCAGGTGTGAGTGTGTGAATAGTCGTTTGTCCTGTTTGTCTCTGTGTTGCCCTGTGATAGAATGGCGACCTTTCCAAGGTGTATTCCGCCTCTCGCCCATTGACAGGTGGAGACCAGCACCCCTTGTGACCCCAGCAGGGATAAGTGTGGTGGAAAATGAATGGATGGTTGTTTGGCACACAAAGATCAATGTATGTTATTTAAACTAGACAGACAAACACAAGTAGTTCAGGATTGTAGAGTAAAAGAAAAAAAGCATCAATCTTTTCCAAAATCTTTACAACTACAAGAATCAGAAGTGTGTGTTCCTTTAGTTGATACATTGCTGGGCCCACTTCCTGGAACAATAGCACATTGTGGGAATCAACTGCTCCTTGTGGAGCTCGATTTCTTTAGAGTCAGTCATGTTTAGGACTAAGGTGTGAACATCAAAATAGCCGACAGGCTTATAGATGCATCAGCGCTGAACTACTGAGGAGTACGAACAGATGACGGAGGACTTCCTCCGTCATCTGTTCAGATCTGACCTCCTGACAGTACTGTGTCCTTCAAGGCTTCGGCGTCTGGAACTCTGTGCGAACCGGCTGGTATCACATCGTTCTCCGGGCAAAGACTGGGGGAGTGGTGGTCTATTGGTTAGGGTATTTCACTTGGAATGCAGAGATCCTAAATTCAAGCCCCACTCCCACAGACTGCTACTCTGGTTCCCTGAGCAAAGGCCCTTAACCCCAGACTGCTCCCCCGGCACCGCACAATAGCAGTGGGCTGTGGTTTGTTAAATGCTAAGGGTTCATTTCGTTGCTCTGTACTTGTGACAATGTAATGACAATAAAACTGGAAGGAAAAAGGAAGGAAGGAACTCTAAACCAGATTAGTGACTCATGCATTCACATAACTATCATAACATAACTATCAGATCTGATATAAATGGAGCTCTGCAAATTTAAAGGCTTTATATGTGAGAAAGAGGATTTTAACAAGAAGCCAATGGATAAAACCTACGATCAGAACTTGGGCTGCGGCAATTTGGATAAGCTGAAAGTTTTTAATAAACAAGAACATAAGTTACCACACCTATTCAGATGACCCAGCTGTGCATTATAGTGTCAACACAAGACTATGAACCAATTTAAACACCATGTAAATGCATAGAAGATATCAATGCATGGATGTGAGGAGCCATTCATGCTTGTTATAAAGTTGTTACTCTGGTTTTCTATCTGACTGAGAATAGATTTAAAAATACTTTTTAGTTTTTAAATCATTGAATTAGCACCTATATTAATTACAAACGGGATTACAAAAGATCCCTTGTGTCCTCTGGCTCAAATCTACTCTGTACACCCAGAACCAAGCATAAAGAAGCAGCTTTTAGTTCTCATTCTCCACCAATCTGGAAAAAACCTCCACAAAACTGTAAACATGCTGGAAACCTGCAGTTTAAATCAAGATTAAAAACGTATTTGTTTCGAGTGGCCTTGGACTATGCTTTCTAGGCATAATCATTTTGTTTTAATTCAGAATTTTTAATGTGTTTTCTCAATATGATTGTCTTTTATTTTAATCATTAGGGTTTAATTTCATTTAATTATTCACATTAATTGCCTTTATGCCACTGCAATGCCCTTTTTTCTATTATGTTCCTTTTTCTTCAATCAGTCTCAAAACTGAAATCTTTTTAAATAAACCTGCTTAGCTTTTTAAACCTTCCTGTGCGATGAGCTGCTTCACTATCCCTGCCCCGGATAAATTAAACACTGAGAAAAAAGTTGTTGTGTTATTCACAATATATTATATTCTCCATTATTATATTCTCCATATTAGTTCTATATTTCCTCCCACCTGTACAGGATAAGATGGTTCTTAAAACCAGAATAAAACAAAGTAACATGGACGGCACTTTTTTTTTCTCCATGTCTCATGTTGCATCTATCTGTCTTCTTTCCAACCAACCTTTCCTTTGAGATTCTTGCTTTAAAAAACTCCAATCCCCCTGAGCCAACTGTGTGCTAAAGTCGCTTGAACTTTTCTACTTTCTTTGCACATGCAGGGTAATGTCTACCGATGCTCTTCATCATGTTAAATCACTGCTATACAATCTCAGGTCTTTTTTTTTACTTGGGGGGATTTTATGGTTTATAAGCATACAATAAGCATATAATCCGGCCAAAATGTATTGATTTCCACACATGCATGACAGCCAATTTAAATATGTTAATGTGAAAAATACATCTTTTTAACCTTTGTCTACATTGATTTTTGTTTCAGATTGATCTGGGCAGAAGCAGAGTTTTTTATGTTAAAACTGGACACTTTCATTGAGTTAAAACAATCATTATCCGCTGAATAATCTCTTAGATCACTTAAAAAACGTCCTTTCTTTTTAATAGTGGAACTCCTTGTTCTGTAACGGTGACTGTTTCACATTGAATGCAAACCTATTTCCACTGGGGCCACCCACATATTACAATCCAGGTACACATTGTGCTGTTAGGTGATTTGCATAAAAGCTTCTGCATCAAACAAATGGAGATGCTGTTGTTAATCAAATTTCTAAAGAGCTGTTTTCACCGAATGACTCAAATAATTAACAAAAATTATGATCTCTCCTCTACACTGTTAAGTATCATTACAGCAATTGTTGAGCTAAAATACCCCATCAAGACAGAGATGCAGGCTATTAACAATATGATTATGTTTTGTATTGTGATCAGAAAATCTATATTAGTTTAGTCCATGTTGGTTGTTGCTTGCTTCTAAAACCAAATAAGTGACTCCATTAGCCCTTTTGATAAGATCATACTCTACCTGAGAGATGTTTTCTTCCTGCTTTTAGAGCCAGATGAAACTTCATCACAGGGTCTCTAACTTCATCAGTCACTCATCTACGATCCTTTCTGGGCCTTTTCTGTCACTAGTAAAAAGAGCTGTTTATATGTAGGAGTTTAGTTTAGGTGTGATTCTCTCTGCATGTTACTGACAGGATGCAACATTTTGTGCTTTGGGGTTAAGTTAAGGTTATTGTTACACTGGCTATGTACATCTCCTTACAGACATTAATGGTGCAAGAGTTTAAAAGAAAATTATACCAACCTAAAGAGACATTACAATTTAGTTCAGCTAAATGGTCCCATTAAGGCAAACTCTCATGACAGGGTAAAGCTCTGGAGAATTAAGGTAATTCAGTGTAATTAACGCCCACATATAGGCGGGAATAGTGAGAGGCCCTTCTTTACGAAAGCATCAGTGCTACAAACAAAAATAGCTGAGTTTGACCTTTTAAAAACACAAAATTAACATTTCTTTCTTTCTTTCTTTCTTTCTTTCTTTCTTTCTTTCTTTCTTTCTTTCTTTCTTTCTTTCTTTCTTTCTTTCTTTCTTTCTTTNTTCTTTCTTTCTTTCTTTCTTTCTTTCTTTCTTTCTTTCTTTCTTTCTTTCTTTCTTTCTTTCTTTCTTTCTTTCTTTCTTTCCTTCCTTCCTTCCTTCCTTCCTTCCTTCCTTCCTTCCTTCCTTCCTTCCTTCCTTCCTTCCTTCCTTCCTTCATTCGGCTTAGCTGGGGAAGGAAATCACTAGTCAAGCTTGAGCATCCAGGGACATGTCATGTATGCACAAGGTCAACATGAATCCACCAAGTAGCCATTATTTGTCCTTTTTCTGATTTGCATTGGCATATCTATTATGTAGAATCAATGTAATGTGGTGGACCACTGGGAGCCTGCATTACAGTTGAATCTCTTCTAACATTAAAAGGGCTATATAAATATTATATGAGCCATGAAAAAAGCTGATGAAGTGGCATTAATGTTAAACTGCAGTCCCTCTATTTACTATCTTGCTATGCTGATACGTCAAATATGGTCTTACAGGGATTTAAAAAAAACATTGGTTTTGTCCCATAATAAAATACATATTCCGCTTTATAAGCTTCCATTTTGAATATTTTAAGGATTAGGGGGTTTAAGGTCTGATATTCATAGTTTTCAACTGTGACAGGACGTGTTTGACATTTGAGGGTTTGGGAGGGTTTTGCTTAACTTCTTTTTCCCAGGTTTTTATTGTCATTACACTGTCACAAATACAGAGGAACAAAATTATCTTTCTGCATTCAACCCATCCCCTTGGGGAGCAGAGGCTGCCATTTTCGGTGCTCGGGGAGCAATGTGGGATTAAGGGTCTTTCGCACAGGGACCCAGGGTGGCAGTCTGTGGGAGTTTGGCTTGAACTCAGAACCTCTAGATTCCGAGTGCAATGCCCTAAACACAAGGCCACCACATAACAATATTCCAATGACCGCCCCAAGCACTAATTATTAGCCTTGAACAATCGCAAAGTTATGAAATGTAAAAATATTATGTAACAGTTGATTATGTAGTGATTTATCAGGGTATAATTCAGGGTCAGCTGTATGATGATGTGATGCCATTGTGACCTTAATTCATTGAATGAAAAAGTCACTCTAATCATGTGAACAGGGTTCTAAGCAAAAGGGGCTACTCAATCTGAGATTACACCTGACTTGTAGGGTGTCCCTTATAAAGGAACAAAAAATAAAAATATTAAATAACTTTAGGTGGAGCCAGTGTCAGACTGGACAAATATCAAATTGAATTATGTGTAAATGTTTTTTAGTCTTAATATCAAGTGCAGCATAATATATGTAATGCTGGTACAGGAGGCATAGATTACCAAAACATAGTTTTTCACAGTTTGCTGTTTTCAAGCAAACCACAAGGAACAACAGTCTAGAGCAGAGGTCATGGGTTAGCGGACCTCTGCAAGGTTTAAAAACCTTGCAGGGCAGCCTAAAGCCCACTTCTCCCATTAAGCCATAAAAAAAGAAAAAAATAACAAACGGTCAGTTCAGGTGTTTTATAAAATATGAGAATCAGTAAATTGCCAAATATACCAAACTGAAAGATTGTTTTTCTTTACTTATAAAAACCCCTTAGATTTAAAAATGGAAAAATATTTGATATTTTTTAAAATATTTTTTTTTATTTAAAAAGTCCATGTATAACATGGATGCATAAACACCTCATTTTATTTCAGTGTTAAATACTGTTTAAAGTAACGGATTATAATTAAAAATGTCCACACACCTTTACTTGTGTTTCATTTTCTTTATTCGGACCCCGCTGATTTTTTATTTCCCGCTCCAGAGTTTCAAACTGCTCCAATTGCTTCCCAAACCTTATAACTGGTTGTGCTAGCATCCCAATAACAGGTACCATTCATTACTTACAATAACTTCAATCCTTTAATTTTATGCAACAAAAAAATAATTAAATGTTTACGGTAATGCTACAACATCTCATATAAATAAATCGAGACTTTGACTAAGCCAACTAGAACCATCTCTATTGAGGCATTTAGACTAAAGCCATTTGGCCCATTTGTGTTTTTTAGATAATTTATTGCGATATAATAACAGTGTGTATGAGAAAAAAATCACACACTGATCACAGCATATTTTCCTCCAGGATTTCCCTGCAGGATGATAAAAATTTTTTTTCATGACTTACTACAAGTTGTCCCTGATTTGAGGCAGAAAACTGCATGTTTATATTGCAAGGCTTTCCATAAAATAAAAACTGAATCTTTTAAAAACAGTTTTTTGTATTAATTCAGCTTAGCTGTCTTTGTTTGAACTGATAACACTACCTTTAGTTAGATAGATAGATAAATAGATAGATAGATAGATAGATAGATAGATAGATAGATAGATAGATAAATAGATAGATAGATAGATAGATAGATAGATAGATAGATAGATAGATTGATTGATTGATTGATTGATTGATTAACGGATAGACAGATAATTTAAAAACCTGACATGAATCAAAGTCTTGAGCTTCAACTTATACAGTGCTCTGAAATGAAATAAAATGTATAAAACAATGGAGGCCTTGATTTGGAGTCGCATACAATATTAAAGCTGAAAAACACACTATAGACTGATCTAACTTTGATGTAATGTCCTTAAAAAGGGTTAAAATGAGGCTCAGTATTGTGTTTGGCCTCCACGTGCCTGTATGACCTCTCTACAATGCCCAGACATGTGCTTGATGAGATGGTGGATGGTCACCTGAGGTATCACCTCCCAGACCTCGACTAAAGCATCCGCCAACTTCTGCACAGTCTGTGGTGCAAAGTGACTTGGTGGATGGATCGAGACATGATGTCCCAGATGCATTCAATCGGATTCAGGTCTGTGGAACAGGCGGCCAATCCAAAGCTTCAATGCCTTCATCTTACAAGACCTGATGACACACTCCAGCTGCATGAGGTCTAGCACTGACCAGCATTAAGAGGAACCCAGGGCCAACTGCACCAGCATACAGTCTCACAAGGGCTCTGAAGATCTCATCTTATTATATAATGGCAGTCATTCTACCTCTGGCGAGCACATGGAGGGCTGTGTGGCCCTGGCAGTGCTCCTCTTGTCACAAAGGTGGAGATAGCATTCTTGTTGCTGAGTTGTTTCCCTCCTAAGGCCTCCTCTACATCTCCTGGTGTCTCCCAGAGACAGGCTCTGGAAACCACCCTGACAAACACAGCAGACCTTCTTGCCACAGCTTGCACATCGGTGCAAGCTGTGGCTTGAGCTGCACTACCTGACCCACCTGTGTTCCGCGTCATGCTACTATGAATGTGAAAGCACCACCAACACTCCAAAGTGACCAAAACAGCAGGCAGAAAACATAGGCACTGAGAAGTTGTCTGTGGTCCCACCTGCAGACTACACTCCTTTAGTGTTTGTGTCTAATTGCCAATAATTTCCACCTGTTGTCTATTCTATTTCCATAACAGCTTTAAATCAGACATTTGATTTGACTGAAGTTATATTTTCTTGTTTTTGTGTTCCCTTTGTTTTTTGAGCCGTGTATAAACAGGCACTGATTTAAAAAAAACTTGCTGCTGTCTTTCGGATAACCACCCAAACTAAACAGAATAAATCAGATTTAGCATTTTGACTTCATCCTGCAGAACAGCTCTTCGTTGATGCAGAATCTAATCAGTCCTCCAACAGATGTGTGAGCTGTTCCTGTGATGTAGCATGTCGGTGGAAACCAGAACAGGAATTTGATGTTTGCTCAAAATTGAGCACTGCTTCATCTATATTCACTCTAAAATCCTTTTTTTGACCTTGATCTCCATAATCAATACACAGAGTACCAGAGGAAAGTCACTCAGGACTACTTTAACATGCACAAACACATAAATCCAGAAGGTAAAGCCTGAGATAGTTGCTCTGGTAATATCCAAATAAGTTAAAATAGATGTCTTGCCTGGCTGGTTGAACACAGCTGTAAAATGGCTATATTGCCTTTGATATCATGAAACACACAACTGTCGCCAGTAGCAGGCTGACAGGAAGGCATGGGGCTGTTTGCATAGAGGGGAGCAGGTGACCGAACATAATGCATTCACCAAAAGGAGCATTTTAAAACTAGAGCAATAAAAAAGCTGTTGATTATGATGCAGGTATTCTTTTAAAAGCAATTTTACTATTTATCTAAAGCATGGTATATACATCTGTCCTATCTCACTGGGTGTTTGAACAAAGGAGCAGTAAATATACCATAAATATAATCTACAAGCTATAATCAACGTAAAAATGAGCTGGACTATAGCTTAAGTTGTCAGAAACATCTGATTGATGAGAAAGTGTTTTTATGACGGCATTTTGCATTAGAGACTCCTGGGGATCCTGCTGTGGTTTTCAAAGACGTGTGAATTTGAAGAGGGAGAAATTTCACATCAGACTGAGATGCAGCCTCACATGGTGGTGCAAGAGACAGACAAAAAATAGATAAAAGATTGTGTAATCAAGCTGAGAAGTTCAAAAATAAACGTGAAATAAAAATGTTAATATTAAAAAAGAGAGCTACTGAAAAAAAAAAAAAAAAAACGGAGCGCTATTTAAAAAAACAATTTTATAGAAGGCTTTAAGTTGGTTAGGAGCTCCATGTTCCTAATCAAAGTGTAATCAGCTTAATGGAAAGGGATTCCTCGGAAGCCGGGAAACTAGGTCTCCTGATTCCGGATCTGTTTCTGGTGGTGTGCAGAAGCCATTTAGTTAGCTGCAGAAAACAATATCTGCATTTCCAGAACACCCTCCTGAGAAAATCTCCCAAGCACTCCAAACCTCTTCCGGATCTTCAATTAGTATTTGGATTGTAAAATTTCATGTTTAATTGATTTGCTTTTTCTCTTTTATTTATTTTTCTTGATTTATTTGGCTTGCCTTAACTTGTAAATTTGTATTTTTAATCGTAACAGATCATAAATTCAATGTTAAAAAAATAAAAGACTGATTAGAATGAAAAATAATTGAAATTTTTTTTTGTCATTCTCTTTTCTTTGTAAGCACTCATTAATGCAGGTCCATTTTGTTGTAGAGTAAGTTATCAAATTGTCCTTAGTGAACGCTCTTACCTCCAAGAGTTTGATAGAAACCTGTAAGAAGACCTTTTCCTCGTCCACAGACAGTCACTCAGATATGTTGTTTCTGCAGTTTGCTTTTGTCCATCTTTCCCTCCCTTGAGCCAGCACTGATGTAGACAGAGCAGCAGAGGGTACCCTGTATGTGGATGTGGCTCCTCCTCCTGTAGGGTCCAGTCTGTGTGTGACTGTTTGTGTGCTTGTGTTGCAGAGAAAAACAGTTTGAGTAGGGAGGGGTCATACAGCTATTAGTGACTGTCTGAATCCCTTAAGCAAGCTTTGCATTTTTTAAATAAACAACAGGACAGAAAGGGAGATGGGTTTGAATCAGGACTGTGGAGACCACTATACTCTACAGCACAAACACACAATATCCTCTCCCATTTCCAATGCTCCTGGCAATGGGGGAGGAAAAAGCATCAGTGGCCATAGAATATAATAAAATGGTAAAGTTCTATTAAAGAGGACAAGAGATGAGGGTCGCTCAGTTTCTCTGCTGCTGCAGGACTTTAACCTTTAAGACTCTGTTGTTTTGACCTTTTAACCAGACCAGTGACGCAGCCTGCACCAGTTGGTGGATGACCTTACTTTGATGGAGTTACCACTAAGGATAATCGTCCCTCTACATAAAACCATATCATGAGTTCAAATCAAAAGTCGGTTGTTAAACAGGTTTGAACCACGGTGGCAGAAATGCTAAAACTACTTCTGCATCATTATAACTTTCTTAAATTAAAATTGATGTTTGATTAAGTATTTGGAACCTTAAAGACTTCTACTCTTCTCATTTTTATCCTACCTAATTATATTTCAGATCAACTGCCTAACAAAGTTTACTGAAAGAGTGATCTAGTGGCCTACTTCATGTAGTCAGACAGGTCCTATTAATGTAAATTACTTACGTTCTCCTGGTTTGACAGCAATCTTTCTGCTAACTGTAAAAGTGACCTGGTAACTTTATTAAAGCAACAGAGGCAATAACATTGCATATGTTGCTTTGCAGGTTTGGATGTTTCTTTTTTTTGTCTTTTAGTGTATAAAAACCATCATTTCATTGCTAAGTTTCATATCTACACCTGTTATTTTGGCAAATACTAAAATTTGATTTGTGATTTGAAACATTAAAATTTGACAAAAAGGAACAAGAAATAATAAAAAGAAATCTATAAGAGTGTACTTCTGTACAGAAAGATATACCTTACTTTAAAACACAGCCCTTAGCTTGTTCCTCACTAGACATTAGATTTAGTTATTGTGTTGAAAATAAAAGATCTCAAATCAATATAAGTCATGTGTTTATATTTGACTCTTTTTTTTTTTTTTACATTTGTCTTATTGTTGAGCGAGTACAATAGCTCTGCATTCCTGACATATTGCTACTTTAGCACTATTTTCCCTTTAAATTAGCTTTTTCCCACACAATTAACCTGTTGAACCAAGAGGGGTTTAAAAATTAATGTCCATCTAAAAATATACAATAAAATAAATTAAGCATAGACAAGTCCGGCCAAGCTAAATATATATATGAAAGATTTTGGTCTGATCCTGTGTGGCTGTGACTCTATCCTGGAGAGAAACATCAGCTGGGATGCTGCAGTCAAAACTTTAGATTATTGATGATAGAGTTGGGCCTGTTTTTTTAGTGCTTTGTCCTGTTTCTCCCACAGACATAGCTGTGGGCTTGGCTTTTACTCTAACTGTATTTGCGCTCTGTCATCCCTTTGACTTAAAAACGGGCTCAGAGTCTGCTTAACTGTTTCTTTCCTAGATAGAGCCAACTGTGGAACTAGTTTACTGTTACCTTTTCTGACAGAGAAAGATTTTATAACACAGTGCTTCTATGTTTGTTTTGAAAGTCTGTTTCTCTCTCATTTAACCCCAGTTGAATTCAGAAAATGGCCGCTCACACTGAGTCTAGTTCTGCTAGAGGTTTCTTCCTGTTAAGAGTTTTTCATCTGTACTGTTGGTGCATGCATGCTGTTATTTTATGGGTTTGCTAACAGAGGAAATGCACGTAAATATATCGACACCACAAGCTCATCCAGGAATCATGCAAATTAATGAGTCAATGAAATCAGCTGGATTTCCTTGAGATAAACTTTGAACCATTCTGACTGTATTATCCAGTTTAACAGCGATTGACCTTAAAACAGAAAACAAATGCAATACCAAAAGTAGAAATAAAAAAGTCCAAGTGAAAGTAACAAAAAAATAAATAATTAAATGAATTAATAAAATGTTGACAAGAAGAAAGGAAAAATTGATCCTTACACAGGTTCAAAAGTCAAAGAGAAAAAGTGTGTCTGAAGAGCAGAAGTGTCAGATGAAGAGGTTTTTGTAATATGCAGTGGAAAAGAATCCCATAGTTTGTAAGTTACAATGGCAAAAATTGAATCTCCTCTGAGCAAACTTTTTAGTCCCTATGAAATGGTATTTTTCTTATACACAGGTAAAATAATTTAAATCCAAAATTTGACAAGAACATTCATGTCAAAAAAGGAGCTGTGGCAAAACTGTAGAGACTGAAACAGGCTAAAAGGTAAAAAATGAATCAAACAAAAGGTTTTTATATTTCTAATGGGTTTGTATTTTGTTTAGTTCCTTCCTTTTTTATTTCAAGGTCTTCCTTTTGCCTCAGCTGCACATCATTTAACCTGATTAGCTCCTCTGGTTTGCTTGTCATTTCTGCAACCCTGACTCAGTATACATACACTTACCTTTTCTCATTGTTCTCTGCATGACTCTTTTTTCTCTCTGAGTGAAAGACACCCTTGTAAGTTCTCTTTTTCTATTTTCATTATCAAATAGTTCTACTTCCCCTCAGTATGTCTTTGCAATAAAATCCCTCAACAAAGAATAATATGACAAAGGAGCCAAAACAGAAACAAAGGTGAGAATATTGAAGTTCAGATGACTCAAAATAAATCATATAGCAAACTGTCTAAACAGATTTACATTTTATTTATTCTATTTCTGCAGAATTATTGCCCTAATGTGTTGAAAACTTCCAAGGGTCCTGTGGCCTGTGTCAATGTGTACCTAGCACAGTCTGTACAGCAAACTGTATTTAAGTGTGGTCTGGCAATGATTTAGAAAGCACTAGTGAGTATCAGGTGTCCAGGATGTTCTCCTACATGTAATCTAATTTATTTGTTTTATGGATCTCAAGAGGACGTACAACCCCTATACCTATGTTTGGGTACAGAGCTCTTTATACAGTATGGGTGGGAGTCAACCAAAACTGACCATTATCACAGATCATATGTTGAGCCTATGCACAATTTTGTTTAGTTTTTGTCATGATTTAATTAAAGATAAGACCCAAATGCAGAAGACCAAACAGAGAGACTAGGGAAAAGTTTAAGAGGTTTATTTAGTATAATGAGATTAGTCCAGTGTTGCTCTGAACATTGCTCAACCGGAAGTTTCCAGAAAAAGGTGACCTTTATTGAATCCAGTCTGTGTGGGATGTTTCAGTGATTGTCTTGTTTGATGGTGGGCGGACAGGGTTTACTCAGTCTGCGGTTGTTCCTCTGTGAACGGATAAGCTGACTGCCACTCAGATTTCCTGCGTTACTTGAATGGACTGTAGTGCAGATGAATCCCTTGCTCAGTGTGAAGCTCAACCCACTCCTTGGGGAAAAGTTGATCCAAACCTCCCGTTTGTAACCCCAGCTCAGTTTGAATCTCAGTTGATCCTTCCAGGGAGAGAAGGTCCGAAAAATCCAGTTTGGAGGATGACTTCCCCGAACTGGCAAACACTCTGGCCTCGAGGTAGTGGCAGTCAGCAGCTTAAGAGCATGCAACAGGTAATGAGGCAACAAGCTGCAGGTGTGCAGGGAGGCCCAATGAGGACGGGGCACCACCTGGTGGAGGAGAAAAGGAAACACAGAAACAACCCACAAAAACTGGATTCCTGATAGTTTTGGGATTGGCTTGATAATTAGCCAGTGATATATTTTGATAATGGGCTCATAAAAGCATATACAGTTACTTTATGTTAGCAGTTTTAGATGTGATCTAGAGCTTGTGGATATGATGGGAAAATGTTTCAGGCATTAGAGGCTCAAGGCTGGACGTAGAGTTGGTTCCAAAAAATGAAGACTTGACATAGTCTTTAAAAATGACTGCACATCTCTGATGGACCAGAGTTTCCCGCTGAGTAGAAAGAGGCCAGAATAAGAATCATTTCTAGAAAGGATTGGGTGTAAAATCAAGAAAAGTTGATTGTTATACTCCGGTCTGAAGTTGCATCTTGGCTTCAAGTAGAGAGGTTTTGCTCGCAAGTGATGGCAGATATTTAAAAAAAGACTGGGATATCTTTGATGATGAGGGAACAGCTCTGTTCTTTCAAAATAAAGACAGAGCTATACCAAAACACAGTGTCCCCCTTTTAATAGTTAATCTGTGTTTAAACCTTCAACTAATAGGTGGATCATGCCTAAAAAAGCTGGACGGGCGGACTTCAGCATTAGACAGAAAATAGCTGTTTATTCTAGATAGGATGATAATGTATCAAGTATCAAAGATGAGACTGATGGCAGGGAGCAGGTCGGTCCTTGCAGCCAGACCTTGGGGAGCAGCAGCCTACCGCAACAAGAACAGTGCACGGCAAATCTACTTTTCTAATTCGATTGTTTATTTTTCATCTTTGTCTTGATTTGCCCCTTGTTCTCTTGATGCAATGTTTCTGGCATCATCAACCATAATGTTAAGGCTTCTGTTAGAAAGCTCAATATTATGATTTCTGCAAATAATTTCTTGCTTTCTACCACTTGATCTATTAAAATTAGATGTGTCATAAGTTTTATTTTACTTAAAATGTAAAAGTCATATTTGCCGCAACTTGCACATTGCTCTACTGGGTTTTCTAATTCTATAGATCAATATGTCTCTTATCCCATTATTTCTTGTCTGTTTACATTGTTTATAGTTCTAGTAATCTCTCTAAGCACTAAAACAGATCAGGACGCATGTATTTGATAGACTTTTCAAAAATGATCTTTCCAAAGGTCAGTGTGTAATTGTTCTTTAGACCTTCCACATAATAAAGTAGATAAATAAAATTAGAATCCCTTTATTTCCAAATATAAACGTCTGAGCCTTTGCATTGTAGTTTCAGTAGCCAGGACAAATCTTTGG